CTCAGGCTGACAGTCGTTAAGGTTCTCTTATCTTTTGAGGGTTCAATGCTTCTAGTTGATGCTCCCAGAATGACTATTTGAGTTCACCAGAAAAGCTATTTCTTTTAACCCACTTTAGGTTGGTAAACCTATTATGGGTCAGGATTTCAATCTTTAGCTCTTGTGCTGGCAAATTTGATGGGTGCACAGGTACTAGTTACTATTGAGCTCGGAGATCAGCATTCAACTGTCTCCTTTGCCTCCTTATTTGCTTTCCTCTAGATGATGAAGCTTCAGCATTATTTTTCTCGGGTGCAGGTAACCTGAATAGCAGAGATGTGGTGTTTGTAGTCATCACAGAAATTATTCCTCCAGCTATAACCCTAAACCCTATTTCAAGGCTACAACCCTCTTGATGGCCGGGGCTTCTGGCTGTGACAGCTATCCAAACACAAAAATCCTTCTATAAGGATTTACAGGAGCAGGTCGTTATGCTGGCAGATTCACACGACTGGTAGGAGCTTCAGCGGTATTAAGTCTTATTGCAGATCTCTCAGCATTCATGCTATTCGTAGGAATGGCGGCACTCCTTGCAGCAATTATAGAAAAGTTAATGCTACCAAACTGGATGGTGGCTTCGATATTCCCAGTGTTAATTATAGCATTTACCAACTGAATGCTGGCTCCACCACCTAGTTGAATAATAAAATAAGTGTTATGTGAATCCATCTACAAAAATGAAAGGTAAGGGTTAGTAATTATCATCTAATACATTACCCCACACTTTGAAAATGCAGAGACATGCACAAAACAATAGATAAATCAGATAACTATTAGCAAGCAATAATAAAAAAAATATAAATTTAAAGCTCGGCTGAATATGCTATCTCAAAAAATGTATCAATGATTATTTTAAAAAACTTTAGGTTTTGATCTGACAAAAGATCATTTTGAAAAATCCAAAATTTTAAATACTGATTGATGTAGCTGCTACTATAGCACTAAGATGACTAGCCAAAGATGCAAAGAGAAACTAATCCCTAGTGGAATCGCCAGAAATTTATGGCCTCCAAAAATTCATCCCCGGCCTCCGCCTGATTGTTATTTTTTCTTTCAGGGGAGATTTAACGCAATTAAGTTCCGGGGTAAATTTAGTGCTTGACTTTGAGTTTATATTATATTTTTCCCATTTTGGCATCTAATTTTTTGTTAGAATTCATCAAATTATCAACTATACTAATGATATGTCATTACTACATTAACTCAAAATGACAACAATGACTCAGCCATGTCAAAAATTTCTTCAATTTACATACTATTTTCTTAATTTGTGCACCGGTCGTCACATTTTGCATATCGATTTCACTAAATAACAATATTAGATAATTTGATAATGCACTTAGGGTATTGCGGATGTTTCAATTGAAACCACGTAGTCCGTTTCGCAATCGGATGTCATTTGGGCGATGCTGATGCCTATTCTCTTTGATATGCATATTTTATCTTGGAATTCAAGCCACCACTCTGGGCGATCCAAATTAAATATAAAAAATGTAGTTCTTAAGTATTTGCATTATTTCGGTCGTAACGGCAAAATCCATTTTATGAACGGACATCACTTAGATAGCGACGAGGTTGATTTTTCTTAAAATTTGTGTCACAAATATAGATGCTTCAAATTGAATAAACTAAATATAATTTTTAGAGGTTGACAATATTTTGAATGCAACGACGCAAGCTGTTTGTTGATCCGACATTGTTTGATCAACTTTGCGCTTTAATTTTGAGTGTCAATCGCCCCTTTTGACTGATCTCATTCGATTTGATTGCAAGAAGTCTCAACATAGCAGAGTTCGATGTCCTGACCATAACGACATCATCCGTTTGGCATTCAGAGTTCATTTGACCCTTAAGTGATGTGTTTCATCAATGTACGCATTGCTTTTTTTTTTTTTTTTTGAGAATAATGCTTTTGCATTAAAATTAAGAGAAAAAAAACTTACAACTAACTCAAAAAAAACCTAAAGCATCACATTTCTCCTTCAAGCAATACAAGAATGAAGGAGGAATCTTAACATCTAAAAGATCAAACCAAATGAAGGAATTATACACTCCCAAATTAGCACAAATATCTGCTAATTTGTTACATTCTCTACTACAAAATGAAAACAAAACTTGGTTAAACTTTTGTAAGAAAGCCAAGTTATCATCTATTCTTCCTTTGTTCTTCCACTTCTTCAAAATATTTTGGATTACTTTAATAATATTGAAGTTATCGCCTTCAATAATCACACCTTGATATTCATACATCCAATCTTGCATAATGTTCTTTAGGTAGTAAACAGCCATTAGCTCCACTTGAGAAATATCCCAATGCACATAATCAGCTCCAAATGCTAACAAAAATCGACCCTTATCATCCCTAACCACGCCTCCAATCCCAGCCATGTTGTTACATTTCAGTGCAACATCTACATTAATCTTAATCCACCCGGGAGGAGGAGGATGCCAAGAATAAGACAGCTCGTGCTGGTTGACATCCCAGTTGTCCGAGGGAAGATTAATAAAGTTGCTCACCATAGTCAAAGAAATAGAGTTTGTAGCTATGGTAATCTCTGAGTCTTCCACTCCTTCATGTATCATCTTACATCTACTTTTCCATACCAGAAAAATAGTTGTACAATATAGATTAGCTATAAAGGATTTGTGATTTGCATACCTCTTTAGCTCGTCCAAGCAGATTTTGAAGTTATTAAATAATGGAATATGAAATCCCCATTCGTTCAGCTGCCTTATAACATTATGAATTTTAATATAGCTCCCCGCTACATGCCAACTATCTTCTTGTACCTGACATCCTCTCAGACAAGCTGCATCTCCACGCAGTTTTCTTTTTACCAGAAAAGCGTTCTAAGGAATAGCTTCATTATAAAGCCTCCACCATAAGAGTTTAACTCTCGGTCTCAATTTTAATTTCTTCATTCATGTCCACTGATAAGTCTCTGTGCTCCGTTCCAACAGGGCTTCAAATGACAATACTGCAATAGATTTCCCTGAATTCTTTGTTTTCAGTTCTAATTGATCATTGATACAGTCCGTTGCAATCGGAATTTAGCTGATAAGTTTCACCAGGTGTTCACCAAAGAATACCTGTAATAGATTCAAATTCAACCTCCCATCCAAAATAAAATTACATAACTTGTAATTGGAAGGCTCTATATTATTTACAAATGTAGGCCATTTAGAGAAACTTTTGTCAAGGACCCAAGAGTCAAGCATCCAGTTAATGGACTTTCCATTAGAGATATTCCACCTCATAATATTCCTAAGAGAGACAGCCCCTGTGGTTATAATCTTCCAAGTATTAGAGCAAGCATTCTTCACCGGATCATTCCAAATATCCTTTCCATATTTGTTTCTAAGTATCTTGTAGAGCAACGAGTCATTCTTCATTAAGAAGTCCCAAGAAAATTTTGCTCGAAGAAGTCAAACCTTAGAGACCGCTGAAAATAGCCCACGTCCTCCTTCATCTTTTGGCTTGCAAAGTAGCTCCCAAGAAGCATAGTGCAGCCCATTACAACTATTTTTATTATTCCACAAGAATCCTCTACACATCTTGTCAAATTTTTTAAGAATACTCAAAGGAACCAAGGTAAGAGAGGATAAGAACATCAGGAGAGCTAGAAATGCAGATTTAACTAGAATAAATTTTCCCTCCAAAGAAATACAATGCTTTCCCCAAGTGTTCAGTTTATTGGCCGCAGATTCCATCAAGTTTTGAAAGTCAGAAGCAACCAATCTCCTTAAGGTTAGCTTCACACCAAGATATGTTATCTCATTAACAACCTTGTACTTGAGAATTCTACCAATTTTCTTCTTAATCCCAATTCTGGTATGTTTACCAAATATTAACATAGATTTGGGAAGATTGACTCGTTGACCCGACCACTTGCAATATAATGAAATTATGCTCTTCAAATCCTTAATCTTTTTCACATTAGCTTTCGAGAAAAGTAACACATCATCGGCATAAAGCAAGTGTGAAATCTTGGGTGCATTAGGAGTAATAGAAATACTAAAATAATTCTTCTGGTTTATAGCATCCGACAAAATTTGGGAACAAAGGATAAATAAATATGGAGACAAGGGACAACCTTGTGTAAAACCACATTTGCCAATAATCCAATCCTATTTTTTTCCCATTGATCAAAATGCAATATTTTGGATCACAAATGCATTGCATTAAAAGATCCCTAAACTTGTTAGGAAAATTAAAATGTATATGCACTTTCCTTAGAGTTTGCCATCCCATGCTATCATAAGCTTGCTCCATGTCCAACTTGATAGCCACGAATCCTTTCTTAGCTTTAGAATACCAGAATTTGTTGAAGACTTCCTGAGCTAGAAGAACATGTTCCGACAATGATCTGCCTCTTATAAAAGCAGCTTGTTCTGCAGTAATGATCTTGTGAATATCACTCTCCATTCTATTCAAAAGCATCTTTGCCACAATTTTATAAATAGTCATGCAAAGGCTAATTGGCCTAAAATTAGAAACCACCTGAGGATCTTTTATTTTAGGGATTAAGACAATCAAAGTTTACTTCCATGAATGGTGCATAATCCCAGAAGAAAGAAACTGTCTAACAGCTTGCCAAACATCCTTCTTAACAATTATCCAAAAGTCTTTGATAAAGGAGAAGGTGATCCCGTCCAAACCTGGGGAAATGTTTGAACCGGCCTTGTCCACTACCTCCTGCATTTCTTCCATAGTAAATTCTGCTTCCAGCTTTTTGTGGTCCTCTTCCCCCAAGGTATTAAAAGGATTTGGCCAGCCTTCGAAAATGCAATCCCTATACCTCCATTTATGAGAAAAAAAATTTGTGAAAGTTTTCTGAATTTCAGCCAATTCTTTAGTAGTTGAGCCTTCTTGTGTTATGATATGACTAATCCAATTTTGATTTCTTCTAGAGTTAGCAAACACATGAAAAAAAGGAAGAATTAGTGTCACCATGTTTCATCTACTTTGCTTTAGCACGTTTCCTCCACCAAGAATTGAGTCGAGCCAATGTAACATTGAGTTCATTGACTTTGAGTCTAAGCAATTGCAGTTTTTCTATAGATAGACCTCTTTTGGCTTCCTCCAATTGGATTTCCAATATCTCCTCCTTCAACTTATCCCTTACTAAGTTCAGATTAATAAACTTAGCTCTACTCCAAAAGAAAAGAGCTCTAAGGGTTCTTTTAAATTTCAAGTTGAGAGAAGTGACCGGATCTATACCACAGTTCTTATTCCATACTTTCTTCACCAAAGCAGCAACCCCATGGTAGGAATCCCACACATCTTCATAACGAATCCATCTACTATAAATCTCCAAAGGTTTAAGGATTTCTAAAAGAATGGGACAATGATCCGAGGCTATCCTTGAGAGGTGTTTTACCTGAGCCAGATGAATAGCATTCAAAGCAGTAGAATTAATAAGACATCTATCCAATTTCTCTAAAATTCGAGCTCCTCCAGATTTATTATTGTACCAAGTGTATTTGGGACCCATAGATTTCACCTCATGTAGATCATTATGAATCATGAATTTCTTCATATCCAAAGAACCTTGTGACATGATGAATTTATTTCCCCCTCTTTTTTCTTCTTGAGAAAGTACACAGTTAAAGTCACCGCCAACCACCATATGACAGTCAACAGAACAATTTTTCTCCAAACATTCCCATAATCCTTTCTTTATTATAGCTTTTGGACTTGCATAGGCCGATGCCACCTTCCAGCAACCCTTATTAAGGATTGTTAAATTTCCAACAATCACTTGTGAAGAGTGTTCAATCATCGAGAATTCAGCTACATCCTTTCTCCATAATACCATCAATCCACCAGTGAGGCCTTCAGAAGGTACCACAAAGGATTCCCAGTTCTTTCCCAATAAGTTTAAGATATAAGAGTTATCTACCGAACTCAACTTTGTTTCCAACAAGCCTACAAAAAAAAGTATTGTTATCTTTCACCAACTCCTTGAGATATAGAGCAGCCTCCACTTTCTTGGCCCCTCTACAGTTCCAAAAAGCCAAGGAAGTCATTATTTAAGAATGAGGGTGGAACCCCCAATCTTCTAAGATTTTCCTCCTTCCGACTTCCTATTTTGTATAATGATGTTTGAAGAGCCAAGTGATTTAAGTTCTTTTAGCAGCTTTGTTTTTTTTATCCCAGAGGATTTCGTTGAAGGGTTCTTCTTTGATTCCTGCCTCATCACTGGCTTCTCACAAGTTGAAAGGACCAAGTGACCATTGCTGCCCAACTCCTTGTCCACAATTTCCCCTTCCTCAGTACCTTCTACCTCCCATATGGCCTCTACTCCTGAATTATCTTTCTCAGTAACCTCACCATCCACAACCTTTAAGCTATCATCAATAGAATAGGGAATACCTGAGTTCGCAAGCAATCCGTCCGGATTTGCTTGAGTTCGCAGGCAACCCACCACTTTAAGTTTAGTTCCTGAAATTTGGATACCATCCGTGATAATTTTTGCATATACTGTTTTGGATCCAGAAACAACCACTTTGTTATTACAATCAAGTTCCAACAAAGCCGTTCCTTGAGCTGATTTGTTATTCACTTCCAACCCACTTTTGTTGTTAAGCATTATTACAGCAGCTTCCTCCATGTTATTAGCAACCAAACTTTTCTCTTCATCAGATTTCTAATTTTCATTCTTCCCTGTATCAACAATTTCTTTTTCTAGGTTGACCAACTTCTGAATCGGCTGATCAATCTTATTGAAAGATCTCTTATTCTTAACACCATTTAAATTAGGAATGTCAGCAAAAACTTTTCTTTGATTGAACCCTCTACCTTTCTTGCAATTTACCATAACCCAAGGACCGTAAGAAGCAGAGTCCAAAGCCTCAACCTCCTAGTAAAAACCAACTTCCACTCCACATTCATTGCTGTCCACCTTCTTTTTCAAATGAACATTATTATTCTTATTGCAGTCCTCTTCTTCATGACCAATCCTCCCACCCTGGAAACAAAAGGATGAAATTTTTTCATATTCAACTATTTGAAAAAATCTCCCTGAAATACTATCAACCCAAACTCCTAACGGAAGCCTTTGATCAATCTTCACCCTTACAAAAATTCTAGCAAATTCTCTTCTCCCCCATTGGAATAAGTTACCATCCAACATAAGAGGAGTGTCAATCCTGGATGCAATAATTGCAATATTCTTTTCATCCCAGCAATGAAGATGAAGCTGAGGCATCCTGATCCAAATTGGCGAAGTTAAACCCTTCATAGATGATGTTGAAAACTCTGGATTCCATTTTTCCATGCCTATAATGTGATCATTGACAAACCAGGGTCCACCTGAAAGTACTGCCTCCATCAATTCATAATCATTGAATGAGCAAAAAACCAGCCTTCACCGATTGTAGTAAAATAAAATTTGCCCAGCTTATTCCATTATCTTCTAACTTCCCACACAACCAAGTGTGGAGGCATCTCCTTGCCAAATACTTTAATTACCAATGACTTCACCAGCCTATTGGCATTAATATTTTCTAATTCTTCACATAGCTTCACTGCCTTACCATCATCATACATGACTATATCTTCTTCATTAAAATTTAACTTGATGTACGGTTTGGTTTTACCATTACTTAATTTCTGCTCAAGAGATGTCTTTTTAGGCATAACACCAATAACCTTGTCTGCAAATGATATTTCCTTATCAACCAGTGCTGATTTGAAACAAGGTGGATTAACCCCATCTCTACCAGGATGTAAAGGACTATCCTGGCAATCACCTAAATCAGCTGAAGCACATTTCCTGACTTCCAACAAATCCAAACTTGAATTCCCCTGATTACTCCATACAACAAAGTCTGCTCTGCTGAGATGCGTATCAGTATTCTTCTCTGTAGCATTTGGCGACTTATTAGGGAAATGAATTTCTTTGCTCACCAAAATTAATGAAATTCGCATTTATCTTCCTGCCAGGGACAGAGATTGCACTTGAATTTCCAAAATGATTCACAAAAATTTTCATTCCTGAGGAGGAAGCCCCTAGATTTGGAGAGAACTTTTGAAAACCTGATAGGTTATCAGTTTTATAGTCAGCTGTCGAATCCACTTTCTTCCCCTTACCTTCCACCATAGAAATCTTATCTTGTTGCTCAGCAATCCTTTCTGAGATGACCGGCTCACCTCTTGCCCTTCGTCGACAATCGATTTCTTCTTGACGTCCCACAGATGCTTGAAGATGACGGAGATTAGAAGACTCCGATAATGTCAAGGATGACCGGCGGCCATCTGCCGCTATGGTCCCGCGATCTTCCGCAAACGAAGACGGAAAAATCGCGGATAGAAATTTGAAAAATAACAAACTTTCTCTCACTAGAAATCACAGACGTTCTCTCACTAAAGTAAGTCTCACTAAAGTCAAAGAAACTAATAATTTACACATTGCTTAAATCATCATTTTTGCCTATTTTCGCATGGTTTTATGTATAGGGGTCAACAACGTCTTAGTGCCACGCATCACTTGAAGGGTCAAATGACTTCTGATTGCCAAATGAATAATGACATTGCAATCAAAACTTTGAATTCTACCAGGTTGATGCCCATCATAGACGAATCTGAAGAGGTCGATCAACAAAAGGGATGAGCGACACCTGAAATTAAAACATGTCACTAATCAAACGACGTTTGATTAAAGAACGAACTTTGTTGTTGCATCCAGAATGTCTTTGACACTTGAAATATCTGTCTTATTTATTTAATTTATATCAACCAAAGTTGTGGCATGAATCTCAAGGCAAAACACACAGTTCACCAAATGAGGATGAGTTTAATATGGAAATCGAGCCATATGAAGAATGACATAATGCTCCAAATGAAATTATAATTTATAAGATAATAAATTTTTAATCAAATGCAAGGGAAGATATATGAAACTAGTGGACCAAGGGACTATAAGCATCACTCATTTACAAATAATGAAGAAATGGTAAGGAGTCTATGATAAATACTACAGTTCACCTATGGATGTCTATAAGAGAATTGAAAAAAAAATGTATAACCCACCTATAAATTTGAATAGGAGGTTACGAGTGAAGACATGACATATAGTAAAATGCGAGATCCTATGGACTATTGTGGAAAGCTCATCATATATACTAGATGTAATCCACAAGCAGAATGCTAATAATTCACATCAAAAGCAAGCTTCTATGAGTTACTGTGGGAAACTCATCATGCATATAACAAGTTATATGTGAGGAAGTACAAGAGAATTGCAATGCATGCAGTTACCTACGAATAAAAGAAGGAGATTCATTAGTGCACTAAAACCCACTAATAGAAAGTAATAAGTAGTGCATGATAATCTACCTATATAAAGCAGTAAACAACTTAATGCATAAGCTGCTATAATACACCACCGAATCCGTAACATGTATACAAGTGGATAGAAAGCGTTTACAAATATTTCAAAATATCCTCACACATGCACTATAATATGTATGCACATAGGTACACTAAAGGGTAAAATACAATCAAAACTCATATGGGCTCCAGCACGCATATTTTGGATACACACATGATGTCTAGGAATGCTGCATGGATTAATAAGTGAATTCATATTTGAACCTTGACCAATATATTAGTCTTGATACATTAATATTAAGCCTTCAAGGCCTATAATAATGAGAATTCAAACAAAGGCATAAAGCCTATAAAACCCGATACACTATCGACAAGTTCATAGGCTCAATAAGGTTTAGTTAATGATTAACCCTATACACCTCGATGATGGCCATGTTGAAGGTAGAATATCAACAGAAGGGATTAATTCCAAACACTTCAAATTCCAACCAAAGTTCATAATCTTAAAATCTCAAACTCCAAAATATTTAAAATTGAAATAATCCATTCAAGTGTTTAAAGAAAAAAAAATCCATCCACCCTTCACAACATTTTGTCGGGTTGGATAAATTTAAATTTACTTTATCTCACATGGAGCTAATGCCCAGTCAAAAATATCACTAACATCCATTCTCATATAATATCATGCTAGTAAGGATATGGTACGTATCCTTTAACTGGCAGTTTTGCTGCCAAATGGCACCACAGGATAAACAATTATGACCCGGGGCCCTCTGAATTGAGTGATTTTGCCTTCAAATGGCACCACAAAATACCGATTATGGTCAAAGGCAATACGCTCCTTAGTGGAATCAAATCATTGAGATATGAATCAATAGGATATAATTGATAGGGCATAAAGCCATCTATTAGCTAAGATGGATTTAGTTTTGTCCCCTTAGATAAATACCCAACCCAGGACTACAAGGTACACTTGGATGAAGCAACCCATGGCTACCGATAAGGATCCTTCTATCAGGTTGGGTCGACTATCTCCTATAACTAAGTATACCAGGGACCACGATGGCCAGAGATGATGGAACCATGAGATCTTGATCGGGTCCATCATCCATTCCCCGACCATACGCTTTAAATGTAAAATGGTGAAATTTTTATTTTAAATATCAAACTTCTAATTCTTAAGCCCAATACTACTACTATATTCCAGATACTATGTTTTTCTTTGTATCTGATTAATGATTAGCCTTAATCAAAAGTTCCCTCTCATTTTTAGAGGGGTAACTAACTATAGGGGCTTGTACCTATTGGAAACTAGAACTTAGATCATAAAGTCCTCGCAAAATGAGGGTAAAATCTCTAGGTAGTGTCTTACATATAAATTCATCTTCCTTCCAAAATTTACCCAAAAACTTAATCAGTTAAAACTCTCACCCCCCCCAAACAGTTAAAACCCACACCCCCCCCCCCCCCAATAAAAAAAAGCAA